CGAAAAGTCGATAAATAACAAGTTAAAATGGTGGGGGCGCGTAGCGAAAACACGGTTATTAGCGGGGCGCTAATAAGTGTGTTTTCGCTGTGCGCCCCGCCGTTTTATTTCTTAAATCTTGTCTCGCTCATTAAACTTCGCCCCGCGCTCTTGCTAATTAGCGTGTTTTCGTCCCGCGACCCCGCCGTTTTAACTTGTTAATTCTAGCTTGGTGGGGTCGCGGGCGAAAACACGAATGGCACAAATCAACCATCATAGTTTTAGCTACGATACGAAAATGTCACAATCAAATAATCATAAAGTATTATGCAGACAATTGAAGACAATTATTGATTGATCGAAAAAAATATCTGGAAACAAAGTGATCCACCGGAAGCATTAATCACAACAAAATTACATGAAAATTGCAGACTCGGTTTGATTGAGTCTATACATGAGGGATAATGAAGAAGTGCAACATCCCTCACGCCCCTAGATATTATAGCACAGAAAACAATAAAATAAGATAATTAAAATCGGAAAATTTTACATTATATACTTTTAACAAGTAAATTATTAACTGTGAAACGGGTGCCCTTTTGATTAACTATACTCACAACTTTTCACAGTAAATTGGCGATAGTCGATGTCACGCATTGAACACCGGGTCAAGTAAAGGTCAATGGTTTAATTTACGATCTTGATTGAAATTTGAAAGTACAAAAAATACAACATTTCTTCTGTTTTTCGAATGTTCGTATTCGTTTTTCAATGTTCGATTTCGAATATTCAAATATATTTCCCGGCCCTATATTAATTCTTGAATCAATCGTTGCTTACATTTTCAATATGTATAACGAATCAACGAAATTACATGACGAGGGAACCACCGCAAACATACTTCCTTTCCTTGTTGGTTTTGTTTATCATATTTTACAGAAAAAAATCATACAAATTATCGACGGGAAATAGGGGGACAGGGAACATATTCGAATGATGGCCCCGGTCAATTTTCTTTAATAACTCAGACATGGTGTTTTGAAAGTACTGGAAACTTCTGATATTTCTCTGTCATTGTAATTCTTTCTCGTTTGTCTGTAGGAAACGAGCAGTATTTTTGTTGTTTTTTTACTCGAAAATAAGCATTTTGGTAGCTTTGTATGTATTTGTGATTCTCCGAATGGAGGTGAAAAAGTTAAAAATCAAGCTTTGACAGTTGTCGCCAAACAAGTAAGAAATTGCGGATAAATTTTGTGAAAAATCTAAACGCACTTTATTAGTCATTTTTGAAAATGCCATAGCTTGCACTGCGTGTAAGTGATTTTTTTAAAGGAATCGGGCGGATTCTGGAGTATGCTACACCTTCATGAATATTGCCCATATTGGTATATTTTAGGTGTGATTTTGGCTGGGTGGGGATAAATATAAATTGCTGTCAGTCATTTTTTTAAGGAGCAATGCATGCAAACTATTATTTTCTTCAATGTATGTCATAAATCATTGAATAATGCTGTGCAACTGGTTATCTGCCTGTGAAACAGATTTTGAAATATTTGGAATTGTGTTTCTAGCCACACTGAATTAAAAAATTGTTCATTTTTAGGTCCCCTGCCCCCTATGTGTTTTGATTTAATGCAAATGATGAGTACTCTTTAAGGGGCGGTAACTTTTCCATTTTCGCTTCAACTAGAACATTTCCTTCTTAAATTGAGGTAAGTATCCTAAACAAATGATAATTTCGCGCAGGATTGATTCCGTATGATTTGATGATGGGCCACTAAATTCTTACACTCCTGCCAATCCTGGTAAATATAGTACCATCAGAATAAAATTGAAAATTAAAACATTCCACAGACCATTTTTTAATGGCACTAAAACATTTTACAAAAATTGACTATATTTTCCTTTGGATAGCAATTTAATAATTTAAAAAAAAAAAAAATCAAAGAAAAAATGTTGTTTTTTTTATTGATAATATTTTGCCATGGCAAACTTTTATGTAATTGCCATGGACTTGCCATGGCAAATTTTTGCCATTGAATTGCCATGGCAAATTTTTGCCATGGAATTGCCATGGCAAATTTGCCATGGCAGAAATTTGCCATGGCATTTCTATGGCAAATGTTTGCCATGGCAAACAGAAAAAAATTAGAGATTGCAATAAAAACATAACAATAGCACCAATAACATGTCATAGGATAAGTTTAAGAATGTTTTGTGATGTTTTAAAAAAAATAATTGCCATGGCAAATTTGCCATGGCAAAAGTAGGAAAAACCTTGCCATGGCAATTCTAATTTGCCATGGCAAATTATTTGCCATGGCAAAATGCCGAAATGCCATGGCAAAACACACTTTGCCATGGCAAATGCAAACTTTCAATGCATTTTTACAAAAAAGTATTAAAGATAGAAAAACAAAACATATTAACTTTTAAACCTTTTAGTAAATATGACAATTTAAGATAGTTTTCATTTTTTTAAAGCGCGTAAAAATAGGGGTTGAATTTGCCAAAAACTGGCGCGGCAAAAAGAAACCGGCAGCTATTAAACTATAAATACCAAGTACAATTGGAAGAAAATAATTGACCTCATTTGTTTATGGTCCAGTGATGCGGAAGATGCAAAATGTTTGGGACTGTAAAGTTTGTTTTCAAAATCTGATTTTAAAAGTAAAGAATCTTAAATTTTGAATCTAGAACCATCCGCAAATGTGTTTACATGGCAGTTCATCCACCGCATTGTTACTTGGCAGGCTGTAAACAGTTTGACCAGTACTAGTTATCTTCACTTTCACAAGAAACTGAAACGTCTGTCCATGCTAGAGTCAAAGTACAGTGCGAATGACCGTAGAAAACATTTCATGATCAATCACAACGAAAGTGACCTGTACCGTCCGGAAACCTAACCAGTGCCGCCCGTTTCACATTCCAACGCTGTAGCTAATGTGCTGAACGGGCGGCGTCATTCCATGAAAAGCGATGTATAATCCCAAAGAATACGTTAAGAAATTCTTAACGAGAAAAAAAAACAAAACAACAGAACTTGAAATCGGTCGTCGCTAGAAGAAAAGACGACGCGTTCACATGCTTATAATGTTCTATAAAGATAATAAATGGTCTTGCACCATAATACCTAACAAATATTGCCCCCCCCCCCCCCCCCCCCGAAATATTAGATAACGTCTTCGTACAATCTTCGAATATTACAATTCGCTCTTACCCGTGACAGTTCCTGATTGAAATAACCTTTCAACAGATGTAAGAAATTCAACAACTTTATAATCTTTTAAAAGTAAAGTTATGCGAGTCCGTGACAGTACGCCCGCTTATTTTTACAGTGGATCACCAACAATAACACAGGTCTTACACGCTAGGCTTCACATGAATAGTAAAATCATCACCTTTTCATTTGTAATATAGTCCAATTGCCCCTTTGTCATTGTGGAAAACCTGAAAACAAGTATCATTTTCTTATCGAATGTGACTTTTATAGTTGCCACCGTACAAATCTTCTTACAAAAGTGCGTCAAATCACTCAAAATGTCTCTCTCCATACTCTCCTGTTTGGGGATGTTTCTCTTTCTCAATGTGATAATGTGGAGTCATTTCTGGCCGTCCAAAAACACATAATGGATAGTGGGAGGTTTGCATGACAATTAAATACCGCAAAGAAGTGTAAATGATTTACATAAAACATTGCTACACACTTAATAATAATTATTATTAAGGTTATTATACTGTCTATGGGCTTAAAAATAAATTTTGTTTCCAAAACTCTACGCGTTTTTTTTTTATCTTAATCCCCCTTCTTCTATTTCTTTTTTTTAAAGTTTTTTTTTATAATTAATAAATCCTTAAATATTATTCAATTACATTTGTACTGTGCAAAACCTACATTTGTTAATTTTTCAAAATATTTAATATACAATCAATAGAAGCGGTTGTGGTACACATTTGTAATATGCTCTTTATTTGTTCATCTACCAGCCATGTATTAGGTTTATTGTAATTTATCAATTATGGTGATTGACTTTAATTAGCACCTAGTGCTTCCGTCAAAATCCATTGCGTGTATTATGTTAGTATTGTTGTTAAAATGTATGTATTATAATGTCTAATTGTAAAACATTTGACGGCTTGTGCGTGGCGACATTGTACATGTTTCACCCGGCGCAAACAATATGTAGATTTTACGATTAAGTATAGACGAAAAAAATATTTTTTATCAGGCCCAAATTTTAGCTAGCAATCATTTACTAGCTGTAGATGATTATGATATTGGGCAAAACAACAATGGAGTAGATAATCCTATTTCAAATTGGTGCTTTTTGTTCAACAAGACAGAGAATTCTCTACTATAATTTCTTGGTTTAAGGAATTTATAGTTCATTTAACTTCTTCACGGATACCTATTTTTATTTTCTGTGATCATAAAACTACCACTTTCCTATCAAATTTGAGAATTAACTTACAGGATTACAATCTTGAAGCAAGACATAAGACATGTACTTTATAACTATGAAAATGTGCCTATTTTAGACACATACTTCAGTTTAGTGATTCTTCGCAATGTAACGTTTGATAACTTATATTTCTCTTTTATCTATAATTCAAGCTTCATGAAAAAAATTACCAGTTTACTTTTTGAATGATTAATTGCATCTATAATATATTGGAATTGGTATGTAGAACTTCAAACGTCAGACTAAATTTAACCGTGTTGCGATTTGTTTGTAATTAAACACTTTTATCTTCCAGAAAATAAGGTGTAAAACTATTTTTGTTTCAATCTACATGCAACACCTGGATTCAAATAGCTAGTTACAAAATAAAACCACAGCGAAGTCTTCTATTTTGACTGCAGAATTAATTGTTTAAATGTTTTCAAAATGGTTGCAAAAGCTCTAAATGAAAACGTTGCATGTTACAAGCGCAGTATTTGAGTCACATTTTCATTTGTATTTCGTGAATGATAAGGGTGTGCAAGTGTCTATCTATCTGTGTAAATTGTCTTTTGGTAGTTACTTGATGTGAGAAATTTGTTGATGCACAGTGCTGATAACCGCTTGACGAGCGAAGCTTTGGATGAATGCTTCAAGCGTATGGAAAGTATACTGAAAAAGGAAAAGTTCTTAAACTGGTATAGCAGAAAGGCCGTTGAGGAACTTAAAAAGGTATATGTTTGGACACCTTTCTTTTAAATGAAATATTTTTATTGGCATAAAAGATGTATTAGAAATAAAACATAATTAAAGTTCACATATTTACTCGTCAAGAACTTAAAAATTGTCCAAAAACAAACAAACAATGATGAAGTGTTAAATTAATTATTTATTAGTTTCCTGAAGTTGCCACTGTGTGTTGTTGATTGCAATTTACTGCTTTGACATGTGTGTGTAATAAGTTGGTTTATTTATAGCTTGCTTTAAGAACCTATCATGAAGGTACATATCTTATACCTCCTATCATAAAGGTACATATTTTATGCAGTTTAACTGAATCTATTCTAAGATACAAGCAAATTTGTTGGTTTTGATATTAAGATGAAACCTATTGACGACATAATGTAAATTAGAAGAAATGTTCCTTTTCTCTTTTCATGTGATGAAAACCTTCTATAACTGTTTGTTACATAATGCTTACTTTATATACTTTTCGTTCATTTAGAGCCTCAAATGTTAAAGAAAAATAATCAATTTTGTTTATTCTTATAGTTAAAAGACATGAAAATAATAATCTCAAAAATGTCACCTGAAGAGAGTACGATTGTCAAAGAGGCATTTTCAAAGCAACGTGAAGCTTTAAAATTTGACATCGAGGTGGCAGACTCATTGGAAAACAAAATATATTTAGGAGGCATCCTGAATGCAAGCATAAGAAAGGAACAGAGCATCCGTGTAAGTGAGCACAATGTTGTCATTTATTAATATAAATAGTCACTATCAGCTTTTGTTTTTGAAGAGTGTAAATGTGAAATATTGTTGTTTGGTCGAAACAGTATTGTAGCCAACGGAGCCTTATAAAAAATAATATTTACTGGGTGTAGTATCATAATAACTGGCTGAATTTGATTTTTTTTATCTAAAAAAAGATTAAGAACTATATCCAATGGCCATAATTCGTAGATTGTTAATTAAACGTTGTCATATAAACTTTTTTTGCGTTTTGATCTTCATGCCATATCTCTCGATTAACCCTGTACCTCATATATACGCGAAACAACGCACTTTCGATCCCCCTTTTTAGACCTGTAATGCGTGAAAAAATGTCCTATTTGGGCCCCAAACACATGTTTTTCGTTTGAGAATTGTTTGCTAACAAGTGAGCACTTTTTTGGCGCCGCCCCAATCCAAAGGATACATCAGGGGGTTGCCAGAAGGGGAATGTGCCCCCTACTGTTTTGGGGGTTTGAAGGGGACGGAGTTCCCCTCATCGCCAAGAAAATTTTTGACTTGTGAGAGGCTTAAATTGACCCCAGGTCGATCATAAGGTAACGTGTAACCAACGCTGTTAAAGCCTTTGACTCTATCTCAATCCCTTGAGAAGTTGCAGCACTTTGAAATAAATATTGATGGAAAAAATCGAGGCAAAATAGTGATT